TCTTAATTCCCTTGGGATGAAAGGCTCAGGTGACTTCCTTTGCTCAGGTTGAAAACCCATATCCTCTTCCCTCTGCCAGCAGGAAAATACCCTTCACCAAAACAAGCCTCTCCACTCTTACTAACTTGTCCTATAACTTCTTTGTCCTTTTCCTTGCCCCTTCTCAGAGGATTTCTAATCTGGGTTTGTCAACTGGGAAAATGAGTCTCTCAGCCAGAAGATGCAAGAGAAGCTCTTCCAAGGGAAGGAATGACTGGTAGTGAGAGAAGTGTTCTCCCCTTCTTGCTCAATCCAGATTTCATAGCATGTTAACAGAGTCTATTGGTGATTCAAATCAGAAGGTGGAGGATAGCACAAGTTGCTCATGCATGCCGTGGAAAGAATGGCAATAGCATTTTCCATTGCTTTCTTCTCTTCTCAGTGGCTTTACTTGATGGAAGCTATGACCAGTACAAGACCCTCTTAAAGAACTCTACAGAGTGGTACTGTGTCCCCAGAAGTTCTGCAGAAAATGGTGAGTGATGAGAGCCTCATAAGCAGCACAAAGGACTTCACCAAAATTTAGTCTGGTTTCCCCTCAACCTTTGAGGTGGGGAATATCACTGTCAGTTACAAGTGGATTGTTTCAGGGAAGGAATCTGGGGAATTGTGGGACGACACTGTATTGTACATTTTTACTTAGGATGTTATGAAAACATGCTCCAGGCTAGTGAAAGGGGGTAGGTCATTCCATACCTGCATTTTGCCAACCTTTCTACTCTTCCCCTCATACAACCCCTCTAATGCAAGCCTGGTCTACTGACCTTGATGAAGGTGCTTTTACACTGGCTGGTTCAATTCAGCTCCACTCTCTGTGCTGGCTCACTGGCTGTTCACACAAGTATGAGAGTCAGTGAGGGACAGAAGAGGGAGGATGATGTTTAGTTTGGAATAGCTGGGGAGCTGAGCTGCCGTCACACATGAAGTGATGGTAATGTTGAGTGCTGGAATGCCGGTAGTGCAAGCTCCTAAACTCAAGTCAGAGATCACATGTCATACAGCCTCTTGAATGAGAGTTTTGTGAGAATATATCTGCAGTTTATAATCCATCATATGAAACTCTGGACATAAGGCAGGTCTCTTGGATAAACTGGCTGTGGAAGAAATGCCTGTGGTGGCAGCAAGGCTGTCAGAGCAGTTTGCTCTAAGTCTCTCAGTCTGCATGAGCTGAGACCTTGGACAACACTTGTCTGATGGAAGGGTTTTTAGAAAAGTGTAATCCAACTACTTCCCGTCTTGCTTCCTCAAGAAGTGTAAGGCAAAACCCATGTCTCTCATCAAAGAGAGGTTGCATGGACATGGCAGGACAGACAGAGAAAGGGCAGAGGCCCCTTCAGGCAGGGTCCTTACAACAGGAGCCTGCCAGGCTTTCCCCATTACTTCTGGAGAGCAGAAGAGAGCATTTACCTCTATCTGGACTAACGGGTTAAAACCCCACTCCTAACACCTGGGACCCTACATTGAACTCACAGTCATGAAGGATGGCACACCTTGTTCAAAAGCAGGATTTTTTTCCCCCACAGTGGATGGCTGGACGTGCTGCCCAGAGGGCTGGAGAAGGTTTCAAAGAAGCTGCTATTTCCTGTCCCCTGACAAGATGAAATGCACTGAGAGTGAGCAGAACTGCACTGGGATGGGCTCCCACCTGGTGGTGATCAACAGCAAGGCAGAGCAGGTACATGCAGAGGGCCGAGAGAGGGACCCAGCAGGCAGAGACACAGTGCTGGGCCCTGGAGGGGACTCAGAGCCCCTCCTTGTCCTGCAGGGGAGGGAGAATGTCCTGTCTGCACCTCTGCAGCACCAGTCCCCCTCTGCCACCAGCCCCACCCCACAGGGAATCCTGATCCCTCCCTGTGCTCAGTCCTGCACCTCATGGACATTGTGCTTTTTTCCAGGAGTTCCTCTTCAACTTGACAAAAGAAAAGGTTACTAACATCTATGAAACAAAATACTACATAGGCTTAGCTGCTTACAAAAGTGGGCAGTGGCAGTGGGTGGATCAGACGCCATATGAAAAGACACCCATGTGAGTATCCTGGTGGAGTGAGGAGAGCCCTGTAATTTATACCCTCAGTTCAAGTGACCAATACATTGTGTAAGGCAGGTATTTGTCAGAGGGGTATTTCTATCTTCAGCTGCTCTGCAAGTCAGAAAACTCAAATAATTTTCTAGTCAAAACTATGGCTCCTGATTTCTGTCACAGTGACTTTCCTTTTTCACAACTGCTTGAGGTGACTCCATATCCACTGTCATGCATGCTAGTGCATTTCCAATAGAAGAACTTTCTTTTACAGGTTCTGGAAGCCTGGGGAGCCCAATTTACTCTTTGCAGAAAAATGTGCTGCAATTCATGTCAAAGGAAACACAGATCCCAACACTTACAGTAACTGGAATAATGTCCTTTGTTTCACAAGTTGCTATCGAATTTGTGAACAGGCAGTCAAACTTCTCTGAGGAAGGACATCCGAGCTTCAAAGTACCTCGGTTTTCAGCCTGTGCCCCTGCATCCCTTTACAAGCTGGAGATTAGTCCTGGATTAAATAGCTCAGGCTGATGTGAAGGACCTACTGTGAACCTTGCTACTCTCCTTCAGAAACAAGGGTCCTAATTCTCCATCACTTTCCTTGACTCCTGGTCCAGCCAACATCTCAATGATGTGGAAAAGGCCATCACTGTTTCACGAAAAGATACTTGTCCTTCAAATCACTGGAGCAGAATTTGAAAAAAGAGCATTCAGTGGAGTGTCCTAGTCCCTCCTGGAAGGGAAAAATTATTCATGGCTGTAGTGTTTCCTTCTCCTTCAGCACACTGTGTGTTTATTAGGGTTTTTTTAAAAATCTAATAAATGTTAATTTTAATCCACTTTGCATGTGGATGTCTTCTGAACAAGATGTCCCAGATTCCCATAATCCAGCCTCCCAACACAGAGGTTTTAACTTTTCTGTATGTTTGGCACCTGTAGATGAGAATATTGCTGAGTGTGCTGGGCTGACCAGGAGCAGGAACAAAGTAATGTTCATCTGTAGAGCATGTGAGGAAGGTTCTGAACACTTTGGAGAATCATTTGTGAAGACATAAACAGAGCAGGCTATGTAGTGTTCAGTGCCAGCCACAGGTTGCCCAGGATGTAGCAGAAAAAAGATGGATTTTGGAGATCCTGCTGAGATGTGGCAGGATGAGGCATGGCAATGAAGAGGACAGAAAGCATGAAATTTAACAAGAAAGATAAAAGCCAGAGCCTCCCCCCCCCCCACCCCGGGAAAAATTATTAATGAGAGAGAAATTTCACACCCCTATCAGAGGCATCACTGTAAATCAGATACACAGAAGTCTTGAGCAATGTTCTGTTTCCCTAAAATTTCCCGAACTCCAGTCTGTATGCTCCTCCCTTTCGTCAATGATATCCATAGTCTTTGAGGAGCTGGGAGTTTCCAGTTTGGGATTAAAATACAACCTGAAAAATCAGTTCTGGGTGATTTCTTTTTCATCAGAAATCTAAGTACAAATATTTGTCATTTTTGCCTGAAAAAGTGTATTTTCCAGGGTTCTGTTTTTGCCACTGGACCAAAAGTTGGGCTGTTGCAAAGCGTTTGCCTCCTAGTTTCTAAAGTTGCTGGATACTTTCACAATGGAGAAAACTACTTTTTTTCCAACATGACCGCAAACCCAAACATTGCAATGGACTTCTCTTTTTTATTTCCCTCAGCTTAGTTCCGGAACTTACAGCAACAGGGTTTTGAGGAAGAAAAAGAGGCAGGTACGACACGTGGAGAGTGACCAATGTTTACAAGCAGTTTTAGGGGTGCTGCAGTTCTGGCTCCTGGAAGGTTGATAGGGCAGAGCAAAACTCACACCAGGAGATTGTTTTGCAAGAAAATGCAAATAACTTGCTAGAAACAGTCTCCCTGCCCCAAATTTGGAAAACCAAGTTTCTCTTGAGATGTCATGACAAAAGAGGGATCTTGGGAGATGATGCTGGGTTTGCCTACAGAATTGCTGAAGGGAGGTTCCTGATCCCCTCTTCAATATGGATTTGTCTGATGGAGGTGCCTATCTCCAACAGATAAGAATCAGTTTTTACCTCTCAAGTCTGTCTTGACCCAGGAGGCAGCAGATGCCATAGCAAGAGGCAGAGGTGAAGATAGACAGTTAGGTACAGCACTTTCAGAAAGCTTCAGGACATTCCTGCGTATTGAACCCAGGGGTTGGGTGGGAAGGACAAAAAGTTTATCAGAATAACATTCTTCATGATGACACCTGCTGTCCTTGTTTTCAGGTGGACATCTTGGCCACATCCCAGCTGCCTCTCAGAATAAGACCTGGATGCTCACCACTCCTTGGCACATTAACTTTTGCTTTGGAACTCTTGGGTCTGAGGAAAGGACCCGCAGTGACATTCGCTTCTGAGAATACACACGCCATAGAGTGCAGGTACTCCAACTGCTGCAGCAAAACTCTCTTGTGGTTCAAACCTGAGCTGCTTCTTATTTTCCTCCAGCAAGCTCATTATGACCAGTCTTTGAGATGCTGTCTTCAGCTGGAAAAACATCATTAGCACCAAGTTGGAAGGACATCCAGTGTTGATTCTTATGGTCAGGCCTACTAATTACATCTGTACACTGAGCATGCTGCTCTCTTTATGTTCAGCTCTGACAGCTGAGTCTTCCTTTATATGATACGCCTGACTTTCTCTAAAAAATGATGATCCTTGTCAAGCCAAGTGATGAAATAAAGTGAAATGTATGTGTTTTGCATGGCAGACACTATCTTTCATAAGGGTTTAAATTTTCCTCCAAGGGTGTCTGTTCTTTTTTTTTAGACAAAGCAGAGAATTACACCTCTACTCCTTCTCTTTTTCTGTTTTATCCCACCTCAGATTCTTTCATGTTCCCTTACATTTATTTCTCCACTTCTTTATTTTCTTTGCACTCCTGCTGTCTCTCATACTGTTTCCACCTTTACTAATTTTTTTCCCCGTTAAATTTTGTTTCCTTTTACCTTTTCTTGCTAGATCACAGATGAAGAGCATACAATGTTGTTCAGGAGAAATAAAAGAGAGAAATGGCATTTAAAGAAGTTCTAGCACTGGACACACATCTGTTCTGTCTTTTAAAATTTAGTGTTTCTGAAATTATTTCCTAAGCAGTCTTCTGTAAGGTGTTAGTACTAACCCAGGTACTGTTGGCCTTGCAAGGTTCTTATTAACCAAGAGATCCACAACCCCCACTTCTATTGTCCAGTTCATGCTGGTTATCCATTGTTTATCTCACATTGTCTAAGACAAATCCTATGATTTTAGCCTTTATGTCTCTACCTGGTTGCAAGGAAATAAAAACATTTTTTAATTTTATATGGAATCACTTTACACGATTTACTTTACCTGAGCAAGCTTTTTCACATCCTGCTGCTTAATTATAAATAATTTATCTTGACAGGCTTTTGGACAATCTGCTGGTTTCCTGGAAATGCCTCAGCTGATCATGAGGTCCAGCAATTCCGCACCATCTTCTGCTCACAGCAAGTTGCCTGCACTCGCTCAGTGTCACTGTGATCTACATTCATGTGATCAGGAGGAGATGCAGAGAGCCTCTGACTGTCACTGCAGTCCCTTGTGGTGCATCAGTGGCCTTACAGCAAGGTAAGAATTCTGTAACATTCACTAGAAAAAGAAAACGCAGCCATAAGGCAAGGAATTGCTTTGCTCAGGATCTCAAAATGCACCATAAAATTGGCTTGTGCTATAGTCCATGTTTTAACATAGGGGTAATTCAGTGTAGCGTTTAAGAACAGGACATAGATCTGGTTGTTCAGACTGGAGGTCAAAATAGACCACTGTAAACACACTCCAGTGCTGTGCACCTGCCATGACATTCAGTCCTGCCAGGTGAGGCACCTGCTGTCTTAGATCCTCATGCAGGCTGAGTAGCCACAATTTTACATGCACGAGGTGTCTGCAAAATTTTTCTAGCTACAGATCAAGGAGGTAAGTTCACTGCCTGAACACTCTTTTGCTTCTGACATGAGCTAACACAGTTGCCAACTCTGAAAGCAGAGCATGAAGGCAACCTCTTTCAGAATAATTAAACACACATCAAGGCCTTTCCTGTGCTGTCCATCAAGGTTTTCCTTTAAATGATCATCCTCATTTCTCAATGCTGTAATTTCACCTGAGTTCTTACATTTACTTCCAGCTTTTTTATCTCCTAACATGTCTCTGCTTTTAAAGTGACATTTTTCCCCCGTTCCAACTCTTCTCCTAATGATTGTAATTAACAAACTTTGCATACCTGAAATCAGAGTAAGTCTGGAACAGAGAACATTTTGGAGACAAGGAAACAGAGAAAGTAAAAAATGGGAAGGGGTTTCTTGGTTTCATTGGTAATAAGAGAGCCAATGTTTCCTCTTCTGTGGTTAAAATTACTTCTGCTGGGAAAGGAAGTAGTGGGACGAACACAGAAAAAGGCAGATTTGGGAGGAAGCCAAGAACGAACTCTTCTATCACATGTACAATGCAGAGGCACTTCTCAAATTCATTAGAACACCACACCATTCAGACACCATTTAAAACTGCTGCAGAGCACTGGCTTTATGACAGTCACATTTTCATGAGTCAAAACCTGCTTAGGAGATATATTGTTGCCTGGGATCATCTGACCAGAAGGGGAAAGAAACAGCCTGCTGCTGGGAAGGATTTGCCCAGAGTGGATATCCCCTGGCCTTAATGAAAGGAGTCAAATTCCTCCTGACCTGAGTTATGAAAAGGTTTCTGCCTGCAGATTCATTTTTGAGTCATCATCATCATCTGGGAGCTCAGCCATATTTTGGTGCTCAGAAAATATCTCGGTGAAGAAATATTCTTCCTATCCAAAGGCCTCTTGCAAACTGTGACTCACAAGTGACACAGTATAAAATACATGTATAGAAGTTTAGAATTATTCTACCTGCATTCTTAACAAAATCTTGTATTAAATTCAGTTACGGATCTTTTCATAGGGCATTTTTCTTTTTTTTTTTTTTTTTTTAAGTGTATCTACCCCAAAATTCTATATGCCTGCTAAAGAACCAAAGCAGCCCTTTAACACCATCAGATAATTAAACAAACTCATCTTTCTATTATTCACACAAAAATAAAGTATTTTTATAAATGCTCTTCATCCTGAAGGGCAGGCCAGTGCTCACAGGCTTGATCCCTAGTTTTTTTTCCAACTGTTACAAGTGTTCAAAACAAGACTGATAAAAAATATCAATCCACCTCTCCATTCTTATAAGTATGCTTATTTAAAATATCTCTTCATACTTACAATACATAAGACTCTCTTCTTGCAGCACAAAATGCAGGGTCCTCGCCTAGAGACTCTGCACAGTTGATGCTTGCACTGTCAATTAACCCTGGTTGCGACTGAATGAAGTATTGCACCACAACACTGAAAGACTGGCTTGAATGGAATATTAGGGGAAAAAGAAAAGTAATAATTTTCAGTGATCAGAAGTCATCTTTGGTACTGCCTGAAGGTTGTGTACATTTCAAACTGGTGCATTCCACAGACCAATGAGCCTTGCACTGTGCAGAGATCACAAATTATTCAAAAGAAGCACATTTTCTGAGGACTGCTTCAAAAGCTTTTCCCTGAAGCTCTGGTTCTCCTGCTGAAGTGTGCTACTTGGAGACGGATCAGGAGTGACTCAGGCTGAGTTGTGGAATCCTGTGAGCTGCCACATGTACACAGTGCTGGAGACTAAGAGTCAACAGATGAGATGATCTGGAGTAAGGATCAAATGGTTGCCGGAAGTGAGAAAAGGAAGGAAGATTCCCTGGATTAAAATAATAAATTTGTACATGTGTTGCAAGCTTAATTTGCCTGCAGATCCATGGTCTGATTTCCTCGCTTGATTTCTGATGTGCCTCATCACAATGGGCCTGCCTGGCAGCCACTGGAATATGTCTGACCTTGGTCACCATCACTGGACCCAACACTGACCTGAGGGCTGATTTCCATGCTTCATCTCAGACCTTCCTCATCCCTGAAGACTTGCCTAGCAACCTAGACCCTGGATGTTGTGCCAGGTGTGCCTTGCCTACCTCACTCAGGTGTTGTGGCTGGTCCCCAGCTGTCCTGCTGGCTGTGTTACTGCAGCTGGCTCCTGGTCACTGACCCTTGGGGAGCAGCTGCCTCCACCATGCCCTGACAGTGTCTGTTGTACCACAACGCAAATTGACAACTGGGATTTATTTTATTTTGTTGGGTTTTTTTTGGGAAGGCAGATTCCTGTCAGTTTGTTTTACTAAAGTAGCTCTTTACTATTGAATTTTATTCCATAGCTCACTTCAGCTTTGGGTAGAATTTGCTGCTGATGGTCACTGTCACTTCTTCACTGTATTTGTCATTGCTCTGGTTCCAATTTTGCTGTTTTTCATGCTGTTTGTAAAAAGCCTCTTTTTTCAGAAAAGACAAACAAACTCACTGTACTCCTTAACATCTTCCATGAGCTCCTCAGTATTGCTGACAACCATACTCAGCTTTAAAAATCATGTTCCAGTAGCTTTTCATAGGATTTCGATATCTTTGGTTCTTTTTCCTTCAGGGACAATTCAACAGGCTGAACTGGTTCCTTATAGCTCTAAAGTAGTGCAGGGGGGATACAGAGCCATTCACATTTTTGAAATGGTGCTACATTCCCATTGTTTTAGCAGGTCTGAGAGAAGCAGGAAGAGTTTATATGTTGGGTTCCACCAGCGTGGCCTCTGGTGGACAGTGCTGCCTGTGCACAAGATGTGCAGTGTCTGTGCAAAGGGCTGGTCATCTTATGAGAAAGAGCCACATAAATCAATCCAGAAGCAACAGATATGTAATCTCAACACAACTGTTGCAGAGCCACCAACAGATTACAACTTCACTGTTGGATTCAGAGCTGTATGAGGCCAGATGTAAAGACTGATTAATAAAATCTTTCTGACATAAAGACATGCTTGAAGGAACAAATGCAGTATGGAAACACAACACACACTTTTCATGGAATCATGGAATGGTTGCAAGGGACCTTCAGAGTCAGCTAGTCCAACTCCCCTGCATTAAGCAGGATCATCTTCATCAAATCAGGTTGCTCAGAGTCCCATCCAACCTGACCTTGAATGTCACCAGGGATGGGGCACCAACCACCTCTAGCTCTGGGCAACAACCTGTGCCAGTGTTTGCACTTGGGCCAGCCTCTCTTCAATCAGTTCTACTTGACCAACAGCAGACACACCACGTGAGTCAAGCTGCTAGAGCTGTGAATTATTGAGTGGTGGCCTGGGCAGCTGACAAATTTATCTATTCAAGTGCTGCAGTCAAGTAGAGATGAAAGAACCTGCCAATCCTACTGAGAAAAGTGCAATACTTGAACAAAGATTAATTGAAAATAATGCTGCAACTTGGCCTTTGGGAGCCTCCTCATCACCCATAACAAATTTCAGTTCCACTGGCCTGGAGAATTGTCTTTAAACAGCAGATTTCTTAAATGACAGACAGCAAAATGCTGCTTACAGCCAATGCTCACCCCTACCATTGCCCTCACTTCCCCACTGATGGAAGCAATCCTATGTGTGCTAACACCAGGGTCTTATTACATAGTAGGCTGCCTGTGTGTCTGTTGCATGCTTTAATTCAAATTTCATAATCTCCTTTTAGGTCTTGCCTAAACCAGCTACCTGTGTTTCCCTTCTGCTGCAATTAGCCTAAATTCCCTCCCACAGGAACAAGATCAACTTGACACAGTACACACGTCATTTGGTGGCCAGCCTCCCTTCACTGGGTTTTACAGTGTCAAATTCAGCAGCAGAATACATTACTTTTGCATACAAGCTCTTGACATTCACAGAAGATTCTTACTCTCTCCAGCAGTCTTCTTGAATATGGTGGAATTGATCTGCTGATTTGAGGATCCATGTGATCCCGTGATAGCACTACTGCCTTGCATATTTCCCTTACAATTATCCACCACAGATACAGACAAAATTTCCTAGTTATTATACTTGCCATGAGATATCTGGGCATCTGTCACCATCCTTTCTGGCCTTGGAAAAGCTGCTGGGATGACTGCTGGCCTGGCAATTGCATTCATCATCTTGATGCAGATGGGAAGCAGGCTCTGGGTTGCCCATGTGATGTACATCAGCAGCTGGTACTGTCAGGATGACGTTCTAGGGGCCAGCTCAGCCCAGGGGGCCGGTACTGACAGATGGTTCAGCACCAGGCAGAGAGGTCAGCTCCCCCTAATCCAGCACTCAGGTGAAAAAAGGCAGTAAATTTTAAAAGAACTTTTAAATGTGAAGAAAGATGAGAATCACCACGGGTAAACCCCTCTGCATGGCCTCAGAAAAAATAAATTAACCTGGATGTAACTGTGTTTTACTGAATCACAGGGAGCTCCTGGCATGCTGGCAAGGGCTCCAGTCATCTTTGGTGACCCCACGTCTGATGCTGCTGCAGGTTGATGATATTCAGTTTTTAATATCAAGCCACTTTAAAGGTGTCTCAGACATCCTTATACTGAGAACATGGAAGGAGATTGATTCCTAAGTGAAGGTCTTATCAATATACTTTCTGGGCTAAGAAATGCAAAGCTTAATGCAAAGACTTCCCTGGGACATTATATATTTTGACATTTTCTTCACACATGACCACAAAAAGAAATCAGGAAAATGTGGGTAAGCTATAAATGCAGAAATGCCTCTTTACTCCCCTGCTACAGTTAGGTTTTGGGACCACTTACCCAGCCTGAAGAATGGAAGCTGCACAGTCTCTTTAATTGTGACTGATATTTGGCCTAATGTGCTCTCCTTTGGCACTATGATATATATGAGGTCACACCACAGACTAGAGACCTTCCATGGTGTGTTTTTCAATCCTGAATAACATTACCACCAAGGCCACTTCTATTTAGGTGATTTCTATTTAGGCCTTTTTTTACTGGGCATGGAGACATGAAAATAGAACCACATACACAACCTGTGAATCTATAGTGGGTTTTTTTTATTTATTACTGATACATAAGGAATAGGCTGGGACTAGTGAGCTCTTAGGCTAAGCATTAACATGCTTGCCAGAACCCATAATAGCTGAGCAATTATGAAAGAGCTGGGAGTAACACGAACTTTTGTTGCACCTTGAAAGGGCTGGTCCTCTGTCTTGATGAACTGTTGTCTTCTTTCCCTCTGCTCCCTCAGGCTGTCAGGTTAATGCCTGTATTTTAACCTTTGATGAGTCCATGAGTTAAATCATTACTGACTACAATCGAGTTACCTCCCTGTTTTCACTTTCTCATTTTCATTGGCATGTATCTTTGTATCTTGCTCTTGGGCTATGGTTGAAGGACTACAACTTACAATTGGCTTGTTCACATAAAGATGGGTGTTGGGCCACAGAGCCATAGAATGTAGGCAGAAATCTACAGCATTTCAGAATCAACTACGCATTACATAGTCTGTATATAAGCATTATAAGGCCACTTTCACAACAGGTGTGGAAGTTCTGCATTATTAGAGGAAGTAAAAATTAGGGATTTTAGAGTAAGAAAAATAATTGTGAAAATCTCATGTTACTGAGGTTAAGAATAACTTCAGAATACAACGTTGTGGAGATTACTATTTGCTCTAAAGATCTCTATTCCCATGGTAAAGTCCTTGAAACTAGTCCAGAGACTGCTCCACCCAGAAAATTTCCAATTCATCAGAGAAAGGTTCTGTAGGAACTAAGTATCTCAGAATTACATTCTTCCTGAGGTCAAGAACCTGGAATAAAGCTCATTGATTATTTAACCCTTCAGAAGACATCTTAGGTGGTTGCTGATCTGCTGATCCCTGTTGAATCTCTGCTGGGGCTGGCTTCTTGTTGGCAAGAAGCTGAAGAATCCAGCATGAATCCAAGCATATAGTGAGCTATCATGTAGCAGACAAGGAGAAAAAGATAGGTCCTAGCTATTATGAGAACCAAGATTAAGGCAGTTTTCCTTTATGGTCTACAGGATCTCATTGGATCCTGTTCCCAGCTGGGTAGAGAGGACAGTTCCACAGACAGCTCTTTCTTGATAGGCCATCCCCAGGCTGTAAAGAATGGAGCCAGATTCTTATTCACCTGATGAGAAAACTTCTGTGCCCACAAATTCATCTTAGAAGTGTTGTCTTTTGGGATCCTGGACATTTTCTGGTAGTCAGAGAAGAGGTGGGTGAAGGGGTCCCAACCAAACCCTTCCTGCAACTGATGAAAAAAAATACAGTGTGCAAACAATTAAGTTATCATTTCACTGGCATTATTCCTGTGTTACACACAATAGAAAATTCCATGGGTCGTGGGTCTCTGCAGTTTCTTTTAGGATGAATGTAAATTTAGATGAAAGCATCCAACTTTCAGGCTTCAGAGCATAACTAGCAGCACTAAAGTACAGAAAAATACCTCCCCATTGCACATTTGATCTCCCAAAACAGACAGGGATCAAAGATGTATTGTGAGTAGCCAGAAGTGTCAGCAACCTATTACATAAGCTGCTGCTTATGTAAAACAGTATCAGAGGGGACACTGACAGAATAGCTAGAAAGAAGGAGCACAGGAGAACAAGGCGTATTGAGAAAATGGGAAGGAGAGATTATGAACAGGGCATGCTTTGCCTAAGAATAAGAACAAAACTGCTGCTGCAGAATTACAGCTGTTCTTTCATGCCACATTTATTCCAGCAGTCCTGTTAGTAACCAGACAGAAGATGAGACATCACAGCCTACAAGCACGGGTGAGGCAGTGAGGCAGTGGTCAAACTGGTAAGGTATTGTGGAAAAAATTCTCCTCTTAAAACTGTTCCACTCTGTATAAATATTTTGTTACTCGTTGCACCAAAAAAACCCAGAGGTCTTCAGCTTGACGATTCAATTGCTTCTCTGGGATGTGGAAAAGTTAGGATCAATACTCCTCCAGTAAATATTCTTTTTCCTCATATAAAGTGTGAGAGCTCTCAGACAAGGGAGGCTGAGTGATACTCACCTCACAACAGTCAGTAGCTTAAGCCATCATAATGGACATCTGCTTTGCAGTCCCCAGTTAAAATCAGCCTGAGTGCTCTCTCCATTAGGCTAATAGTTTCTAAGAGGATTAAAGGAAAGGTGGAAATCTATCTTGCATGCTTCCTGAGAGAATGCACTTTAATCTAGGACAGGGTTCATGTTTTAGAGTCTCAACAACAGTGAGGGATCCAGTTCTGTGTGAAGGATGATAGGCTGAGCCCATCCTCTTGCTGCTTGATGGACACTGGCTCCACTCAGTGCACTGGATATGAACACCCTCCTCTCTGTAAGTTTTCTAAAAGGCCATGTAACTCACCAGGAGACTGTTCAAAGCTTGACCCTTCCAGACATTTTACAGTGCCAAGGTTTTTTTGACAACTAGACCACTGTCCCACAGGAAATCTGCTGTGGATTAAAGAGTTGTGCCCAAATTTGATGCTCCTTTTCCCATGTTGTATAACAAGCAGCAGTTCCTGTTTCTCTTCCAGGGAGAAAGATCAGTACATTGCACTGAGCTATCTCCCTGAGTGGCTAAGCCCAAGTCTGGCAAAGGAAGGTTTTCAGGACACACCAACTTTAGGCACTCTGCCTGTTTACCTCTCAGGTGCTTCCTGGGCCCAACATAAACCATGACAGTAATCAAACACTTAGGAGGCTTCACAGCTACAGTCACAGGCTGCAGACATCTGTCTGACAGGCTTCAGTGACTGCACTAACACACGCACACTTTCCCCTCTTACCTGCAGGTATGTCTCCAGAGCAGTCCACACATTCCAGTCCTTTAGTTGAGCACCTTTCTTCAGATAGTCTTTCATCCTTTCCTTCCGGCACTGTGGACTGAGTGCCTGATGGGCCTTATGCCTGGGAATGCCCAGCACCTCCTCATGAACATAGACAGACCAGAGGTTGCATGTGGCCTCTGTGGTGTGAGGGGGAAACTCCCATGCCTGCTGCTGTTGATTGTGTCCCAGCTCGTGGATGGGACCCCAAAGACCAGTAGTTTGCATGTGCTGCACGTCTACCATCTCCTTCACTGAATCCAAGTGGCCCATGATGGGGTAGCCAGAATGCATCCAGCCTGCAGGAGAAGCAGGTAACAACACACATCATTCAGTGCTCATCTCAGTGCTTCTTAGAGGTAAATGATTAGTGTAGTTTTTTCGTTTCTCTGGTGCCTTTCCTCCATCTCACAAATAACACTTTTTCATTACCATGAACAGCCAACTTTCCCAAGTGTAATGTAAGGAAATATATCAAGTTTCACCCTAACAGATAGTCAGCCTTATAACAGTCTAACAAGTAAAGGTAGGACTGGACCATCAATTAAGTGCAGTTTTGCCTGCTTTCCCTTTTTATTTGTAAATGTAAACTCATTGCTGGATTGAGGCTTAGGTTTTAGGATGAGGAGAAAAGCCTGACCTTTGCCCAGAACACGCCTGAACTCCCACATGCTGGGCACAGTCGGCACCAGTGCAACCATGCAATAATGTAATTCAGCACCATGGCACTCCTTGAGTGCTCCTGTGCAGAGTGTGGATACTGCAGGCCTGCACTCCAGTGGTCACTGGTTTGGATGAGACACACAGAAAACTCAGTTTGCCATGTTTAAGGGCTACAAAGCCTGGCATACTTAAACCTGTCCTTAACCTTGCAGGATAGCTATTCCATAAAAACTTTCCAGCAGATTGCTAGGCAAGAAACATGCACTGCAAGGGATTTTACTTATGCCTCTTTGGTGTCTTCTTCCCTAACTGGTCCTCCTTGAAGATTCCCAAAACTTCATGCAAGAGCAATGCCCGCAGAGCCAAATACCTGTTGTAGCAGGGGATAAGCAGGCCTTTACACAGAGGGAGCCTGGTGAATGAACAGGATTGGAAATTCCCCTTCCTGCAGGAACTAGTGAACATGAATGTGAATGGTCTGAAACTAGTTTCTGCAGGAACCAGTGAAGATCTTGAGCTTCCTCGTTTTTTAATAAGAGAGATATATGCAATTAACAATCACTAACACCCAAAAAGTTCAGATCCAGAAATGTTAGTGAAACCATTTAGTCCATCCAAGGCAAAAGAAATTTTATGTCGGTAGACAATGATATTTTTAACTGCCATTTGCTCAGCATAGCAGAACCAAACACTCCCAAGATGTGCCACAAATTCTTTCCATGTAGCTTAGCAAAAGTTAAGGGCACTAGGGTTCATGCCAAGCCCTTGTCTCATTGTTGGATGATGAATTCAACCAGTTTATTTCGAAAAACAACTGAGCAAAATTTTTATTGCAAAGTTCCATGTTTGCTATATAATTTGATTCTTCATCAAAGGCATTCAGTTCATAACTGGAAAAGCTGGAGTGAGGGAACATCAGCTGCAAAAATACACACTCCTGAGCTTTGACAGCAATACTGGATCTGCTTCCACACTGTACACATCTTTTTGGGCTAAGCTTTGCCCACAGTAACCTTTGTGGAGTCCACCTCCAGCAAGTAGGCACACAGAGGTTTAAAAGTTGTCACTGAACATGAGAACAGTCCTGTGGCTGTGCCAGAGAGAAAATAGAAATCAGGTCAGTACTTCACAACTGTACTGGCTCTGCAGTGCATTTAGGAGGGAGAATGAGTAACTACATGTGAGCTAAAGACACTGCAGTCAGCAGTTCTGCATCTTAACACACCCTGACAGGAGAACAGCTGAGGAGACAACACCAGTTTTGAGAGCAGGGAGGCATCTGGAAAGATCAGGATGTTTTTCAAGCCCTGCCTTACCACATTTCCACACGGATGGAGCGGCTCACAATTATGCAAGGGCCACAGTTATTTAACACCTCACATATGTTCCCAGTCCGGTTTTAGCAAAATAACCTTGAAGGAACAGACACTGCTGCTAGAGGTCACTTGCCTCTTAGCCCCAGAGAAGGCCATATGGCAATGTACCTACCACATGAGATCTGGACATCTGTTACAATCCTCTCTGGCCTTGGGAATTTTGCTGGTATGGCTGCCAGCTTGCTTATCGCCACCATGATCTCGTTCCACAGGGTCAGCAGTGGCTGTGGGGTCTCCATGTGGCGGATGCTGTCGGAAGGCACCGTCAGGATGAGATTCTCTACAGCCAGCTCTGCCCAGGGAGCAGGGTAGTGCCGGATACAGGCCTCCCACTGCCTTTCACAGGTCTCCCCTGCAGCAGCAACACAGAAAATCAGTTAAACACAATTCTGACTTTTGAGCATGCTCACAGAGGTCAAGCTCAGAGAAAGAGACCAGGTCATGAAAATGTCTTGGAAAACAGTATGTGATATTTGCATGACTGTGGGTGGTGGCTGTTAAATAGCCAGTCCTCAATCTGTTATTGGGAAGCCTCCTCGGGCTCTTTAATAGATAGAAAACAGAAAAGGACTGGCATATAACAGAGTAGCATAGCAGGAACTGATCCCTGTTTCATATCAGAGAACAAGAAGCATCAAGTTTCTCCAGTGTCCCATTTCCTTTTGTCCAGCAGAGTTGTTGTTTCACATAACAACGCTGGTTCTGTTCAGTTTGACAGAGAGAGAGAAAGAAAAGAGAGAAGAGAAGAGAAGAGAAGAGAAGAGAAGAGAAGAGAAGAGAAGAGAAGAGAAGAGAAGAGAAGAGAAGAGAAGAGAAGAGAA